AGACTGGCCATCCTGGCGCTGTCCCCTCAATGAGCGGCGGAGGTCGGCGAGCCATGCCTCAAATTTGATCGCCCGACCCTCCGCGTCCTGGCGGAGCACAGCGTCTGCCATCGCCACGGCTGCAGCAGCTGACCGCTGCTAGGGGAGGGGGAAGAGAGGGCGGTGGAGAGCAGCGGTGGAGACGGCCGGCTGGAGAGCCGGCACAGAAGGGGGAACCAAGGCTGGCAGGTCGGGGCGGCACAGCAGCACGGCATCTCGGCAACTCGACAACTCGGCAACGCGGCGGCTCTGCTACTCGGCGGCTGGACAGGTCGGCTATGCAGCGGCTTGGCAGCTCGGTGGCGCAGCGGCTCGGCGGCACGGTGCGGCTCGGCGTTATGGGGCGGCACGACGCGGAGGCGCGGCGCCGCGCGGAAGCGGCGCGGCGTGACGGTGCCGGCGGGGCACGATGGGGCCAGCGCGGTCGAGTCGGGCCAGCGCGACGGGACGGGGCTGGCGGGGCCGGCACGGCGTGACGGGGCCAGCGCGGAAGGACGGGGATGGCGCGGCGTGACGGGGCCGGCGCGGCGTAGCGGTTGCGGCGCGGCGGAACGGAGCGGCACGGCATGACGGGGCCAGCGTGGCGGCACGGTGCCGGCGCAGCGTGACGGGGCTGGCACGGCGTAGCAGGGCCGGCTCGGTGGGACGGGGTGGCAAGGCGTGACGGGGCCGGCGCGGCGGGACGGGGCCAACACGGCGTGACGGGGCCGGCGCGGCATAGCTGGGCCGGCGCGGCGTGACGTGGCCGGCGCGGCGTAGCGGGGCCGGCGCGGCGGGACAAGGCCGGTGCGGCGTGACGGGGCCGGCGCAGCGGGATGGGGCCGGCGCGGCGTGACGGGACGCGGGCTAGGGCGCGGTCTAAGGCTAGGGGTGACAGCATAGGCGGGGAGGGGGGGACCTAACCTAGCGTGATACCATGTTAGAATAACTGAATGATTAGAAGGAAGAGGGAACAAGGGAGATATAGGGTTTGGTTTGTCCTCTCAAAGAACACACACCTATTCTAGACTATAACTTTCATGCATGCAAATGTATGTATAAGTTGACACATCGCACGCCTGTACCTCGCTTAATCATTCCGTCGAGGTCTTGGCTACCGCCCTGGCTTATACTATAGCTTTTAGGGTGTTGCAGCCATTGCTGTAGCCATAGCAACTCTTTCAGTAGTATGACCTTTGTCGTAGCCACGACAACTTTTTCCGTGGTAAAAGCATTGATGTAGCCACTACAGATTTTTCAGTCGTATAGCTCTTGCTGTAACCACTCAAAAATTTTCAGTGGTATAACCGTTGCGGTAGCTCTGGCTTCATTGACGGATAGGGCAATACAAAATGTTATGGCTGATGCTTGGGGGATGATTGCATATTGAGGAACGGCACTCAGGACAACATTGCGGGTAAATAGTACAAAAGGTTTAAAATCTTGTAACATAAATTATTGCTGAACTACACCTGCTTACACAAAACACTCATTGAAAAGGTGCATTCAATACTGCTTCCTAGAGTTATCATATAAACATACGTGCTGGAGAGATCGCGTTGCCTCTTCGCTCACTCCTAGTGTCGATGGGTCTAGTAAATGGGAGCTTGAAATGTGACAGCTTGAAAACGGCAACTATAAGGGTAACATAGGGAAGTAAGACGCATGAAACCATACAACGTTACTACAACGACGGATGCATTGGATCCGTGTTAGATGCTGGTCGCGAAAAACAAGGACCAAACACATCAGTACTGAGATATACATTCAGGGCGAAAAAAAAAAAGGCAAAAGGAAAGAAAGGAATAGAAACTACATACTCAAGAATGGGAAACGGGTACATATAACAAGAGGCAAGGGTTCAGAATACTGGGAATCACCTGGTAAGCAAACTTCACTTGGGAACAGGGGCGATAGAAACACAGGGGGCAAAAGGAGGTAACGGGGGAAGAGCAGAGGGAAATAGAGTTGGGAGCAGAACCTATTGGAGGGGGATAAGGTAATGCTGTTGGGCGTGCAGCGGTGGCGATCACAAGGAGTGCGTGGGATTAAGGTGGAAGTTTGGAACGGGAGAGACGAGGTCGGATGAGAGCAAGGCTAGGGAGAGTGAGGGGGAAAGGAGAGTGTGATTGGGAACCTATGGTGATGAGCATACGTAGCACCTAGGATTGCGCCGAAATATGGAGGTGTGGAGGTATGGAGGTATGGAGGTGTGGAGGTATGGAGTTTTGGAGGTATGGAGGTGTGGAGGTTTGGAGGTATGGAGGTGTGGGGGTATGGAGGTGTGGAGCTAAGGAGGTGTGGAGGTATGGAGGTGTGGAGGTATGGGGGTATGGAGGTGTGCAGGTATGAAGGTGTGGAGGTATGGGAGTGTGGAGGTATGGAGGTGTGGAGGTATGGAGGTATGGAGGTGTGGAGGTATGGAGGTGTGGAGGTATGGAGGTTTGGAGGTATGGAGGTGTGAAGTTATGGACGTGTGGAGGTATGGACGTGTGGAGGTGTGGAGGTATGGAGGTATGGAGGTGTGGAGGTATGGAGGCTTGGAGGTATGGAGGTATGGAGGTGTGGAGGTATGGAGGTGTGGAGGTGTGGAGGTGTGGAGGTGTGGAGGTATGGAGGTGTGGGGATATGGAGGTATGGAGGTGTGGAGTTATGGAGGTGTGGAGGTGTGGAGGTATGGAGGTATGGAGGTATGGAGGAGTGGAGGTATGGAGGTGTGGAGGTGTGGAGGTGTTGAGGTATGGAGGTGTGGAGGTGTGGAGGCATGGAGGAATGGAGGTGTGGATGTGTGGAGGTGTGGAGGTGTGGAGGACGTGTGGAGGTATGGAGGTGTGGAGGACGTGTGGAGGTATGGAGGTATGGAGGTGTGGAGGTATGGAGGTATGGAGGTATTGAGGAGTGGAGGTATGGAGGTGTGGAGGTGTGGAGGTGTTGAGGTATGGAGGTGTGGAGGTGTGGAGGTATGGAGGAATGGAGGTGTGGATGTGTGGAGGTGTGGAGGTGTGGAGGACGTGTGGAGGTATGGAGGTGCGGAGGACATGTGGAGGTATGGAGGTGTGGAGGTGTGGAGGTGTGGAGATAAGGAGGTATGGAGGTGTGGAGGTATGTAGGTTGGGAGGTGTGGAGGTGTGGAGGTGTGGAGGTGTGGAGGTGTGGAGGTATGGAGGTTTGGAGGTATGGAGGTGTGGGGGTATGGAGGTGTGGGGGTATGGAAGTTTGGAGGTGTGGAGGTGTGGAGGTATGAAGGTGTGGAGGTGTGGAGGTACGGAGGTATGGAGGTATGGAGGTATGGAGGTGTGGAGGTGTGGAGGTATGGAGGTTTGGACGTGTGGAGCTATGGAGGTATAGAGGTATGGAGGAGTGGAGGTTTGGAGGTGTGGAGGTGTGGAGGTATGGAGGTGTGTGGGTATGGATTTGTGGAGGTGTGGAGGTGTGGAGGTGTGGAGGTATGGAGGTATGGAGGAGTGGAGGTATGGAGGTGTGGAGGACGTGTGGAGGTATGGAGGTGTGGAGCTGTGTAGGTGTGGAGGTATGGAGGTGTGGAGGTGTGGTGGTGTGGAGGTGTGGAGGTATGGAGGTGTGGAGGTGTGGAGGTATGTAGGTTTTGTTAGGATTAAGGACAGAGTCTAGGTGAACTTAGGAGCTAGAATTACTCAAAATATAAATCCGAAATTCTGGACAGAAAAGTCGTCTTCACAAGAAACGACGTCGACAAAACACTAGCCGTTGGAATGTCGCGAAACTTGGATATGTTGTAGCTCTTGATCTCAGCTACCGTTCCCAATTTGAATCACGTTGATTGATGAAGTATTCGCGACGCTATGGCTTTCGACGCACTAGGGGGTAAGCTGTAGGAGGAGAACTTAACTCAATCTCAAGAGTTCAATCAAAGTTCAAGAATCTCACAAGGAATTAGAGGAGCAAGAGAAAGGTTGGGATAGAAGAGAGGGATGAGAGGGAAGGTCCCAAGAGAGTCCCCAACCAAGGAAACCCCATAAGCACAAAGATTCCCTCCCTATAGGAACCTCAACTTTGACCTTTGTCCCTTCCCAACCAATCCATCCAAGTTGGCCACCCTTGCCAACCTAGCTTGGTTGTTCCCAACCTATTTGCAGCTGTTACAGTAGAGTGACAAGTTTACCCAACCCCAAAGGTCCCAACTCCATATAAAGTCACCCCACAACTTCACTTTGTAACCGCCGCAATTGTAACGCAAGCTCATGAACTTTGAATCTTCATAGCTTTCGCGTTCTTGCTCCGATTGAAGGGATTCTCGTTGCGTCGGAAAGATCTTCTCAAGATCTATCATCACAAAAAACCTGCTCAAACAAAATAACACAAAACACATTCCCAAACTCCAGAACACATCACACACAAATTCTTGCACACGTTCAAACCACACATGCAAGTTGAAAATATGGGATGGGAGGCAGACAGAATGTGATAGCATATGATGACATCACACAACAATCTCCCCCTCTGGCTGCCAACCATCATCCACCATACCAACATCTCAAGCATGCATACTCAATGCACACTCATCCCAGCAAGCTTCATGCCCTTCCAATGATCCGCCTCCGCCAGACGCTTGGTGAAAATATCTGCTGCCTGCTGATGGGTCTTCACTATCTCCAGCCGCACCTCCTTATCAAGGAGTCTCCTCACCCAATGCCACTTAGGCCTTATGTGTTTTGTCAGCCCATGCAGACAAGCATTCTTGGCGAGCTTCACAGCGGACTCATTGTCACAAAACACAACTGTCGGCTCCTCCTGACCAACTCCCAACTCCTCCAACAAACGCCTTAGCCACACTACTTCCTTGGCCCCATGGTGTAAGGCCATGTACTCAGTCTCACATGAGGACAATCCCACCTCATTCTGCTTCTTGCTGCGCCAGCTCACAGCACCACCTCCTAGCAAGCACACATAACCCCCAATGCTGGTGCCATCCGCTTTCACTGAGTTGAAGCTAGCGTCAGTATAGCAACTCAAGAGCATCTCTCCACTCTTCACATCTGCAGCACCTCTCTGCAACCGCTGCCTCACTCCACTGTACTCCAATCCCACTGATGCCGTAGCACTCACATAGCGGACCAACCTCTTGGCCGCTTCCAGCTGCTCATGACTAGGGCGTGAGACCACACTAGCCAATCGTGATGTAGCAAATGCAATATCAGGCCGTGTATGATTTGCAGCATAATTCAGCGACCCAACCATCGAATGAAACAGCTTCCTGTCACTATCACCCACTACCTCCTCATCAGCACATGGCTCCACAGTAAACCCTGAAGGTAGTGGTGTTGCTGGCTTTCCCCCATCTTGCAGCCCATACTTCTCAGCCAGCCCCTCACAGTACTTCCTCTGGTGCAACCTCAGCACACCCTTTTCCACATCTCTCTCCACGTGCATCCCCAAGTAGTACTTCACCTCACCCATCTTGGAGCACTTGAACTGCATCTCCAGCATCTGCTCTGCGCTGTCCAGCAAAGCAGTTGATGCAGAAAAGAGAAGGATATCATCCACATACACCAAGAGCATGAGGATTTCATCCTTCTCCTGCAGCAGGAACAGGCTGGGGTCACACTCACTCTTCTTGAAACCCCCAGCCAACAGCGCCTCCTCCAACTTGTGATACCATGCACGAGGCGCCTGCTTAAGGCCATAGATGGCCTTCTTCAGCCTGCAGACCCTGCCGCTCCCGTCATCCAGCCCCTCTGGCTGCTTCATGTACACCTCCTCCATAATGATCCCATTCAGAAAAGCAGTCACAATGTCCATCTGCCGTATCTTCCATCCCAGGAGTGCAGCTATCGCTAACAGCACCCTCAGTGTTGTTCCTTTCCCCACAGGAGCAAACACCTCATCATAGTCCTTCCCTTTTGTCTGCTGAAACCCCCTTGCCACAAGCCTGGACTTGTAGCGGGTCAGCTCCCCTTCAGGTCCATACTTGTGCCTGTAGATCATCTTGGAAGTGATTGCCTTCTTTCCAGGAGGCAAGTCACACAGGTCCCATGTCTCGTTCTCAATTAGGGACCCGAACTCCTCATCCTCACTCGCCTTCCACTTCTCCCCATTTGGTCCATTCAAGGCCTCCTCTCGAGTCTTGGGCTCAGGGATTGGTGCCCAGTAGCAGTGAGCGATCTCATCTTCCTCAATCTGCTCAACCACACTCCCAGCCTGCACCACATTTGGCTTGCCTCTTCCCCCATAGGTCAGCCTCACAGGAGGGCGCACATCCCTCCTAGGTCGCTCAGGCGGGTGTGGAACTCGAGGTGGAGACTCATGTTGCTGTTGCTGCTCCACTTCAGCTGCTCCCCCTTCTTCAGTCACCCCAGATATCTCCTCCTCAGACACTGCAACCTCCACCTGCCTTGAAGGCTGCTGCAACTCATCTGCCTCCACAATGAGTGGTGTAGATGGAAGCTTCTGTTGCTGCTGCTTCCATTCCTTATAGTACAGGGACTCAAGAAACTTCACATCCCTTGACACTGTCAGCTTCTGGATGGTCAAGTCCCATAGAAGCCATCCCTTGTGATCCTTTGCAATCCCCAAGTGCACACCCCATCTTCCAGAAGCCTCCAACTTCCCTCTTTTCTCCTTAGGCACATGAAACACTACCATGCACCCAAATGCCCTCAGCATGTTCACCGCTGGAGCACTCCCATACCACTTGGCATATGGGATCCACTCCTTATCTCCAACTGTAGCCAGCACCCTATTCTTCACAAGGGCGACCTGCCTCAGTGCAGACACCCAAAACGGATCAGGTAGCCCTGCACGCCCAAGGAGAGTGCGTGCCCCCTCCTGCAGGGTCCTGTTGAACCTCTCAGCCACGCCATTCTGCTGCGGGTTGTAGGGCACTGTCAGTTGATGCTGGATCCCCTTCCTCTTCAACTCCCCCTCAAAATCAGCTCCAATGAACTCCCCACCATTGTCACTGCGGATCACCTTCACCTTGTGTCCGCATTCCCTCTGAGCTCTAGGCATCCACTCCTTAAGGACAGCCGCTGCCACCTCCCCCTTGCTCTTCAAAGGGTAAACCCACACTGCCCGAGTGTGGTCATCCACAATTGTCAAGAAATAGCGGCTGCCTGAGAGGGAAGGGGCTCTTGTGGGCCCCACCACATCCATGTGCACAAGTGCAAGTGGGGTCTTGGCTGGTCCTGTAGTGCTGTTGAAGGGGAACTTGGAGAACTTGGTCTCCAAGCATGTAGGGCAGCTCCCAATCTCCTTCACTCCCCCTTTCACCTCCAAGCCCTTCAGGCTCCCATCCTTCACCAACTTCTGCAGCATAGGGAAGTTCACATGACACAGCCTCTCATGCCATGTCTCCCAATCGGCCTCTCCACTCCTTGATGAAGCCTTAGCCCATGCCGCACTCGCATCCACACCAGCAAGCACCTCACCATGTGTCTGCTGCTGCTGCACTTTCTTGACTGCTTCCAGGACCCCATCAGTTGGTGCAGTTGCATCTCCTCCTGCTGTTGCCTTTGCCGCTGCTGCCGTTGCTGCTGTTGGAGTCTTCCCATTCCATGGGATGATGGGCAGCTGCCACAGGTCCTTGATGCAGCTGGTCTCCTCTTCCAGACTCCACAGCACCTTCTTCCCAAGCTTAGCACGGCAGCTGGTTGGTCCAAAGGTCACTTCGGCCTTACTCTTCTGCAGTCGCCGCACAGAGAGAAGGTTAGCAGACAAGCCTTTAACCAGCAGAACATTCCCAAGCCCCACAAGCTCCCCATTAGCTCCCTTAACCTTGGCATTCCCAACACCAATCACGGGGAGCAAAGCACCTGACGCTGCTGCCACATACTTAATCTTCCCAGGGGGTTTTACCTCATCAAGCAAATCTGCCCGTGGAGTCATGTGACTGGTGCAACCCGAATCAATCACCCAGTGCGTGAGAGGGTGCATCACAACCTTTCCCACAGATCCCACATCACCCTCATGCCCATGCACATCCTCAACCATAACAAACAAACCAGGATAGGCATTACCTTGTGCACCTTCACCTTGTGCACCTGAGCCTTGCACAGCGCCACCTTGTGCGCGTTCACCACTGGGCGGCTTCATGCCTGGAGGTGCCCATCCCTCCAGCCTGCTGAAGCACTTGAACCAAGGATGCCCAACCTTCTTGCAGTACCAGCACGTGCCCTCCATTCTGGTACTCCCCCTGCCACTAGAGCTCCCATGCCCCTCATTATAGTCACCTCGGCCTCTACCTCTGCCAAAGCTCCTCCCACGGCCTCGGCCTTTCCAACCCCCTCTTCCTCTGCTGCGCCCTGCAGCTCCATACCCCTCAGCAGTCTTAGTGGCAGCACCGCCTCCCACATGGCGTCTGCGGAAGTCCTCCTGCAGAATCTGCTGCCTTAGCCACTCAGGTGTCCATTGATCTTGCTGAGAGTTGAGGGTGGGGATGCGGTTGTCCCAAGAGTTGTCCAACACCGAGATGATCTTGGTGCACTGCTGCAGCTGAGATACACTGCTGCCCGCTGCTGCCATCCTTGCATAGGTGTCCTTGATCTTGTCAAGGACCGGCTTCACATCGTCCCCTGGTCGCATGGAGATGGCAGCAAGTTCCTTCTCGAGCACGATCACCATCGGGAGAGTGTTGGGCTGAACCACATCACGTAGTAGTTTCCACGCCCTTGGACCCGAATCATCCGCTTCCACAAGATCCTTGATGTGCTCGCACATCTCCTTGTTGACCGATTGAAGGATGAGGTCGAAAAGCACCGCGCTTTTCTCAATCCACGGTTCGCGTGCTTCGCCTTCTTCTGGCATCTTCTCTTCCCCAACAGCAATCTTCAGTAGCTTGTAGCGTTTGAAGGCACTCCTCATCCGTCCGCTCCATTCCTCATAGTTGGAGCCATCCAAAGCTTCAACTTTTGATGGCGGCGGCTCACTTGTCTTCTCAGCTACAGCTCCTCTTCCATTAGCATCTCCTCCTCTCTCATTCATCTTCTCCTTGAGAAATGACGAATTTCAGCTCCCCTTTGCTGTCCACACTCAGCTCCCTCGATATTTTCACAAGTGTCGGCGTCCACGAAATTTCGGCAGAGTTTCCCCTTAGCGGAAGACACATCCAACCTTTAGAACACCACTTAGGCACACCCACAGGCCATGGTGGGTCTAGAAGGGTCTTCACACTTCTGTAGACTCCTCTCAATGTCCTTAATATCGCTCTGATACCACTTGTTAGGATTAAGGACAGAGTCTAGGTGAACTTAGGAGCTAGAATTACTCAAAATATAAATCCGAAATTCTGGACAGAAAAGTCGTCTTCACAAGAAACGACGTCGACAAAACACTAGCCGTTGGAATGTCGCGAAACTTGGATATGTTGTAGCTCTTGATCTCAGCTACCGTTCCCAATTTGAATCACGTTGATTGATGAAGTATTCGCGACGCTATGGCTTTCGACGCACTAGGGGGTAAGCTGTAGGAGGAGAACTTAACTCAATCTCAAGAGTTCAATCAAAGTTCAAGAATCTCACAAGGAATTAGAGGAGCAAGAGAAAGGTTGGGATAGAAGAGAGGGATGAGAGGGAAGGTCCCAAGAGAGTCCCCAACCAAGGAAACCCCATAAGCACAAAGATTCCCTCCCTATAGGAACCTCAACTTTGACCTTTGTCCCTTCCCAACCAATCCATCCAAGTTGGCCACCCTTGCCAACCTAGCTTGGTTGTTCCCAACCTATTTGCAGCTGTTACAGTAGAGTGACAAGTTTACCCAACCCCAAAGGTCCCAACTCCATATAAAGTCACCCCACAACTTCACTTTGTAACCGCCGCAATTGTAACGCAAGCTCATGAACTTTGAATCTTCATAGCTTTCGCGTTCTTGCTCCGATTGAAGGGATTCTCGTTGCGTCGGAAAGATCTTCTCAAGATCTATCATCACAAAAAACCTGCTCAAACAAAATAACACAAAACACATTCCCAAACTCCAGAACACATCACACACAAATTCTTGCACACGTTCAAACCACACATGCAAGTTGAAAAATATGGGATGGGAGGCAGACAGAATGTGATAGCATATGATGACATCACACAACAGGTTTGGAGGTATGGAGGTAAGGAGGTGTGGAGGTTTGAATGTATGGAGGTGTGGAGCTATGGAGGTGTGGAGGTATGGAGGTGTGGAGGTGAGGAGGTATATAGGTTTGGAGGTATGTAGGTTTGGAGGTGTGGAGGTATGGAGGTGTGGAGGTATGGAGGTGTGGAGGTGTGGAGGTATGTAGGTTTGGAGGTATGGAGGTAAGGAGGTGTGGAGGTTTGAATGTATGGAGGTGTGGAGCTATGGAGGTGTGGAGGTATGGAGGTGTGGAGGTGAGGAGGAACGGAGGTATGGAGGTGTGGAGGTAAAGAGGTGTGGAGTTATGGAGGTGTGGAGGTGTGAAGGTGTGGAGGTATAAAGGTATGGATGTATGGAGGTGTGGAGGTATGGAGGTGTGGAGGTATGGAGGTGTGGAGGTTTGGACGTGTGGAGGTATGGGGGTGTGGAGGTGTGGAGGTATGGAGGTATGGAGGTGTGGAGGTATAGAGGTGTGGAGGTATGGAGGTTTGGAGGTATGGAGGTGTGAAGGTATGGACGTGTGGAGGTATGGAGGTGTGGAGGTATGGAGGTATGGAGGTATGGAGGTGTGGAGGTATGGAGGTGTGGAGGTGTGGAGGTGTGGAGGTGTCGAGGTATGGAGGTATGGAGGTGTGGAGGTATGTAGGTTTGGAGGTATGGAGGTAAGGAGGTGTAGAGGTGTGGAGGTGTGGAGGTATGGAGGCATGGAGGTATAGAGGTGTGGAGGTGTGGAGGTATGGAGGTGTGGAGGACGTGTGGAGGTATGGAGATGTGGAGGTGTGGAGGTGTGGAGGTATAGAGGTATGGAGGTGTGGAGGTATGGAGGTATGGAGGTGTGGATGTATGGAGGTTTGGAGGTATGGAGGTATGGAGGTGTGGAGGTGTGGAGGTATGGGGGTATGGAGGTGTGGAGGTGTGGAGGTATGGAGGTGTGTAGGTGTGGAGGTATGGAGGTATGGAGGTATGGAGGTATGGAGGAGTGGAGGTATGGAGGTGTGGAGGTGTGGAGGTGTTGAGGTATGGAGGTGTGGAGGTGTGGAGGTTTGGAGGTATGGAGGAATGGAGGTGTGGAGGTGTAGATGTGTGGAGGTATGGAGGTGTGGAGGACGTGTGGAGTTATGGAGGTGTGGAGGTGTGGAGGTGTGGAGGTTTGGAGGTATGGAGGTGTGGAGGTATGGAGGTGTGGAGGTGTGGAGGTGTGAAGGTATGGAGGTATGGAGGTGTGGAGGTATGGACGTGTGAAGGTACAGAGGTGTGGAGGTGTGGAGGTATGGAGGTATGGAGGTGTGGAGGTTTGGAGGTATGTATGTATGGAGGTGTGGAGGTATGGAGGTGTGGGGGTATGGAGGTGTGGAGGTGTGGAGGTATGGATGTGTGGAGGTGTGGTGGTATGGAGGTATGGAGGTATGGAGGTATGGAGGTATAGAGGTATGAAGGTATGGAGGTGTGGAGGTACGGAGGTGTGGATGTGTGGAGGTATGGAGGTGTGGAGGACGTGTGGAGGTATGGAGGTGTGGAGGTAAGGAGGTAAGGAGGTGTGGAAGTGTGAGGGTATGGAGGTGTGGAGCTATGGACGTGTGGAGGTATGAAGGTGTGGAATTGTGGAGGTATGGAAGTATGAAGGTGTGGAGGTACGGAGGTGTGGAGGTACGGAGGTGTGGAGGTATGGAGGTGTGGAGGTATGGAGGTGTGGAGGTGTGGAGGTGTGGAGGTTTTGAGGTATGGATGTTCGGAGGTGTGGAGGTGTGGAGGTGTGGAGGTATGGAGGTATGGAGGTATGGGGGTGTGGAAGTGTGGAGGTGTGGAGGTATGGAGGTATGGAGGTGTGGAGATAGGGAGGTGTGGAGGTATGGATTTGTGGAGGTATGGAAGTGTGGGGGTATGGAGGTTTGGCTGCGAAGGCGGCGTGCGCCACGCACGCAAACCGAGTGCGGCGAGCACCGCGTCTGCCATCATGATGCGCGGCGAGCGCCGCGAGCGCCGCCACGGTGTGCGCGAGCGAAGCAACCGCCTGCACGCGTGCGGGGCGACTGCCGCGACCGCCGCCACAGTGCGTGGCGAGCGTCCCGCTCGTCGCCACGAGAGCGGCGCGAGCAAGCGGGACGAGCGCCATGGCCGGCGGCTCCGCCACGGGGATGGCGTGGCATGCGCCATGCTCGTCCGCCGCTCCAGCATGACCCACAGTGATTTAACTGCACTAGAAGAATGGTACAGACGAGCTTACCAAGGTAGACCGAAGCCAAGTTGGAAGCTGTGGGAGAAGCTGTTGATCGTCCTTCCTTGAGACAGGAAATGTCGAGGTGAACGAGGTGAAAAACCTTCGGAAAGGGAGATTCGGAGGAATCTAGAACCGCGCAACCTGCATCCGAATCGCGCGTTTCCTGATTTTGTTTCAGCATTTAGGTGAGACGAATTTGCCGGTTTACCACCTAGTTTCTGCTGGTTTCTGCTGTTTCCCAAGGCAGACCGTGCTGAGGCACGTGACACAATCACGTGAAAAGGACACCTCATACGAAACTAACTGCACCTCTGCAACAACGGTTAGAAAAAAAAATTATCTCATTGTAACCAACCAGACGTCCTAAGGGCTTGTCACATTTTTATGAACTTGGATTTTCCCGAAAAGGACATGGGGAGAATTGGGCTGTAGGGCTTGGTCACATTTTTCGGAGGGAATCTCGAGGCTGTCGCGACAATTTGACGAGCGTCGTAAAAATGGTTACTTTCGCCAAAATCTGGTGCTCACAAAAATGTGACGCGCCCTAAGCGCTGACAAGGCCATACTGCAAAAGTGATATGCACACTCAAAGTATACACTATTACAAATGGAAGCTAAATAATTTAAGGAAAGGATTGTATTGCATCCAATTGTCACATCTATACGACATATTATTGACACTAATATGTGTGTCATCCATTCATATTGATGTTTTTGTCAGCTTATACATACATTTGCATGTAGAGTTATAGGCTAGAATAGGTGTATGTTCTTAGAGAGTACAACTGAACCATATATCTTCCTTGTTCTCTCTTGTTTCATCATTCTAGTATTCTAACATGGTATCATGAGTAGGTTAGGTCCCCCCCCTCGCCCGCTTCCGCCCCGCGCCCTAGCCTACCGCGCCACGCCGGCCCCTATCACGCCCTAGCCGACCCCTCCTCGTGCTTAGCCTGCCCTCCCTCTCGCCGTCGCCAGCCCCTCGCGCCGTCGTTGGCCCCTCGCGTCACAGCCGGCCCCTCGCGCCCTAGCCGGCCCCACCTCGCGCCGTCGCCGGCCCCTCATGCCTAGTCGGCCCCCTCGCACCTAGCCAGTCCCTCGCGCCCTAACCGGCCCACCCTCGTGCCGTAGCCGGCTCCTCGCGCCGTAGCCAGCCCCTCGTGCCGTCGCTGGCCCCTCGCGCCGTAGCCGGCCCCTTGCGCCCAGCCAGCCCTCCCTCGTGCCCTAGCCGGCCTCCCCCCCTCGCGCCGTCACCGACCCCCCGCGCCCAGCCAGTCCCTCGCGCCCAGCCGGCCCCTCGTGCTCAGCCGGCCCCTCGCGCCCAGCCGGCCTTCACCCGCACCGTAGTTGGCCCCTCGCGCCCTAGCCAGCCCCTCGCGTCCTCGTCGGCCCCGAGCGCCGTCTCCGGCCCCTTGCGCCTAGCCGGCCCCTAGCGCACATCCGGCCCCTCGCGCCCAGTCGGCCCCTTGCGCCCAGCCGGCCCCTCGCGCCCAGCCGGCCCCTCGCACCCAGCCGGCCCTTCGCGCCCAGCTGGCCCCTCGCGCTTAGCCGGCCACTTCTCGCACCGCCGCCGGTCCTTCACTCGCCTAGCCGGCCCCTCTCACCTAGCCGGCCCCTCGCGCCTAGCCGCCCCCTACCGCCTAGCCGGCCCTTGCTGAGCACCTGCCTTGCCTCTT